GCATGGGAATTCCGATACAATATTAGTTTTCAGAATTATCGATTATTATTTTGGTTGAATTCAGTGTGCTGATAACAGTATTACCATTGATCTGTCGCTGATGACACATACACAGTATACTATATTAGTATGGTAGAGAGCCACTCTGATCGAATTCGTTCTAAGATCTGCTCAAGATCACAATAAAGCGCACAGAATGTCAAATTTTCCGTGAACTTCGCGGAATTCGGGGTCCGCCAAAGTGCGCGATAATCCGGGAAGTTCGCGACATTTCAGGATCCGCGAAACCATGCGAATCATGCAGAGTACGCAACGCCATAACTTCCTTTGGGATGAATATATTCCGAATCCAGAAGCAGCATTGTGTTCAGATCGTCGAGGCAAATATTATGATATACAGTATGCTCTCGATATTCCATTGTTTTTTCGAATTTTTTCTGTGGAGGTCTTTTCGCAAGGATGTAACGCAGCGTCTGTGTAACATAAAAGATTCCAGTAAGCACAGTTCGATAGTACTGTCCTTGTAGGTTATCGGCATTTAAGAGTAGCCGCAGACTGTCTCCCAAAAGAGATAGAAGCGTTGGTGAATTTTGGAAAAATCACGCGTTTCTAAATTCTACTCGCCGTAACTTCCTTCGGAATGAACATATTCTGAATCCGAAGAAAGCTTTGTGCTCAGCTCATCAAGGCAAGTCTTTCGATATACAGCATATCCTTGATATTCCGTTTTCAATATTCTCAAATCGTTCTGTAGACGTCTTTTCGTGAAGGTGTAAAGCAGCGCGCATTGCTCCTAGTAGACTCCAGCAAGGACCTTTCGATAGTACTTTTTCTGTAGATTACGTAGCGCTAAAAAGTAGTCACAGGCATCTTTCCATATGAGTTAGAAGGGCTGGTGAATTCTGGAAAAATCATGTCGTTCTAAATTTTTCTCAACGTAACTCTAAAATATGAAGCTCCCTTGCTAAGCAGATGTGATTTTCGTAATCAGCAGGTCGGATAACCCTTATGAGCAAGTTTTCCAAGATGTTCGAGTAATTTCATTTTTTTCGTTTTACGCTCTGGAAGCTCGCCGATGGATTTTGGTCAAAATGTTCATACTCTTAAATTGTAAGGAAACTTCGCTTATAGAGGTTTTCAAACACGCTCTTTACGAAAATCATGGTCTTTGAGGATTACAGGGTCTTCTTGGAGAGATACGGTGAGGTGACTGTAACTGCATCACGAAAGCTCGTAACTTCGCCTCCACCTCACGTGTTGTCAAAGAACCTGCTTGCTTGCTTTACTAGTCAAAGTTACTAGGAGAAGTGCTATCGAATGGCGCAAGACTCAGGCTCCAGTCTATAAAATTCGCCGAGTTACGAGCCTACGAAAACACGTTCTCATGAATTTTGCTCAGAATGTAAAGATCGCAAATTTTGTCGAAATATTCCACCGTGAGTGCTTGTATGACACTCGCATTGCGGATATTATGTTCGCTTCGCTCAATAACTCCACTGTATTGAATTTGGTGCTTGCGTGTGCTTCAGCAATTGAATATCAAAGCTGTTTTGTGGTTAGAGCTCAATCACCAAATCTCACAATAAGATCCATTAAGAATGTGAAAAGATTTGATCAGCGTGTTGTACAAGCACTCACGGTGGAATTTCAACAAAGTACGCGATCTTTACATTTTGCGCAAATTTCATGAGGACGTGTTTTCGTAGGCTTGCAACTCGGCGAATTTTATAGACTGGAGCCCGATTCATGCACCATTCGACAGCTTAGTTCCTAGTCACTTTGAATTAGAAAAGCAAGCAAGCAAAGTTTCTGAGAGATACGCGAGAAGTGCGGGCAAAGTTACGCACTTTCGTGGTGCAGTTACAGTTACTTCACCGTATCTCTCCAAGAAGACCTTGTAATCCTCAAAGACCACGATTTTCGTAAAGAGCGTGTTCGAAAACCTCTATAAGCGAAGTTTCCTTACAATTTAAGAGTATGAACATTTTGACCAAAATCCATCGGCGAGCTTCCAGAGCGTAAAACGAGAAAAAATGAAATAACCCGAAAATCTCGAAAAACTTGCTCATAGTAGTTATCCGACCTGCTGATTACGATAATCACATCTGCTTAGCAAGAGAGCTTCATATTTTAGAGTTACGTTGAGAAAAATTTAGAACGATATGATTTTTCCAGAGTTCACCAGCCCTTCTAACTCCTATGGAAAGATGCCTGTGTCTACTTTTTAGCGCTACGTAATCTACAGAAAAAATACTATCGAAAGGTCCTTGCTAGAATCTACTAGGGGCAATGCGCGCTGCTTTACACCTTCGCGAAAAGACGTCTACAGAAAGATTTGAGAATATTAAAATCGGAATATCAAGGATATGCTGTATATCGAAAGACTTGCCTTGATGAACTGAGCACAAAGCTTTCTTCGGATTCAGAATATGTTCATTCCGAAGGAAGTTACGGCGAGTAGAATTTAGAAACGCGTGATTTTTCCAAAATTCACCAATGCTTCTATCTCTTTTGGGAGACAGTCTGCAGCTACTCTTGAATGCGCGATAACCTACAAGGACAGTACTATCGGACTGTGCTTACTGGAATCTTTTATGTTACACAGACGCTGCGTTACATCCTTGCGAAAAGACCTCCACAGAAAAAATTCGAAAAAACTGGAAATGGAATATCGAGAGCATACTGTATATCAAAATATTGCCTCGACGATCTGAACACAATGCTGCTTCTGGATTCGGAATATATTCATTCCGAAGGAAGTTATGGCGTTGCGTACTCTGCGTGATTCGCATGGTTTCGCGGGTCCTGAAATGTCGCGAACTTCCCGGATTATCGCGCACTTTGGCGGACCCGGAATTCCGCGAAGTTCACGGGAATTTTGACATTCTGTGCGCTTTATTGTGATGTTGAGCAGATCTTAGAACAAATTCGATCAAAGTGGCTCTCTTCCATACTCCTATAGTATACTGTGTATGTGTCATCAGCGACAGATCAATGGTAATACTGTTATCAGCACACTGAATTCAACCAAAATAATAATCGATAATTCTAAAGACTAATATTGTATTCGGAATCCCCACGCTCGATTACCTCTTTGTGCAAACTCCCAGCCCCGCAGCTCAAACTTTGCAAAAAAAATCGATAAAAGTAATCGACGGTAATCCTGAAAACTAATATTGTATTCGGAATCCCCATGCTCGATTACCCCCCTATGCAAACTCCCAGCCCCGTAGGTGAACTCTGCAAAAAAATCGAAATCGATAAAATCGATATCGATCAATGACGGAAAGTAGCCTATGACACCCGCCGGGGCCCGAAGTGTATGTGTGCCAAGTTTGGTCCGGATCGGTTCAGAAATTTCTATTCGGAGCATACTAACAGACAAACAGACAAACAGACGTTCAGCTTCATATATGAGATGATGCGTCTCGCCGAGCTGAATCGAACGGTGTCCTCGGATTCAGAATTCGTCCATTCTGAAGCGAGATATGGCTAAATTGACGATCATTCCGGCGCACTGCGGCGGAGTGTGGCGCACTCTGCCGCACTCCGGCGCACTCTGCCACACTCCGGCGCACTGTGGCGGAGTGTGGCGGAGTGCGCCGCAGTCCGGCAACTTTTTTGACGAATTATGAGCGGTATTGTATGTGTATACAGGTGTGTGTGTATATATCATGACTTATATAAGCGGCTTAATCTAAAGTTGTGTGGAGTTTGTCCGTTACGAAATTACAGTGAGGAATGATTTACGATACTAAACATCATGTGAGGTTAAGATAGCGAGTATGGTTCATTTTTAACTGCGGGTCACGTTGCAATGAACCGAACAATGTTTGAGAGACAAGCTCTCAGAAAGTGAGTTTACCACGGTTCACGATGCCAGTGCGAACCTCTGCGAAGCAGAGGTGAAGCACTGGTATATATATATATACATATATGTATGTATGCGTGTAGTGTGTTTGAAAGTGGTTATGAGTAGTATAAAATGTGCGATGTATAAAATTGTATGTGTAAGTGTGTTTGTGAGCTAGGTTATATGTGTAGAACTGAAAATAATGTCTAAGTATATATTTTTAGGTTGGAAATAGTGATAGTGAGGGAATTAGTATAAGTGAAATGTGTATATTTTTATTTTGCTATTTCTATGTTATATATATTGAAGTATACAGTGAGTCGTCCTTAGGTCCTGAAACGATTAGCAGAATATTGTAATTTGCTTAGGTTTAATCATATTCTCTTGGTGTATCCGATTTTTGTCATGTAATTATCTGTTGTTATCATTATATTTCATTATTATCTGTTTGTGGATCTAAAGTGCGGGTTTTATCTCCTTTAGAGTCCTTTTAAGGATCTTGTTAGTATTTTGTATAATGGTCTGTGGTAGTTACTGCATATTTAGTAGTAGTATATACTAGATTGTAAAACATTGTAAATTATGGTGTGATATGAATGTTTAGGTATTTTTTGTATGTGTATATTAGGTGTGTGTGTATGTGTGTATGTGTGTTTGTTTGTGTGTGTGTATGTGTATGTGTATGTGTATGTGTATGTGTATGTGTATGTGTGTGTGCATGAGTGTGTGTGTATGTGTGTATGTGTGTGTATGTGTGTGTATGTGTTTATAAGAGTGTGTAAGCAGCGTATGAGCGTATGATATGTGATTCATGTGAATTGTAAATGTATGTGTGCTTGTGAGAGAAGGATATTGTTAAAGTAATAAGTGTTTATATATGTATTCAATTGTGTGGAAATAGTATGTATGAGTGAACGTGTGTAAGCAAAATGTGTATATTCTTATCTTAGCATCTACCTCTCATATTTTGAATGAAATAGTGAGTAAATCATAGGTCTTGAAAAGATTTATCGAATATTGTAATTTGTATTGGCTTAGTCACATCCTCTCCGTCAAATTATTATCATGTATATTGTTTACTCTCTCTATCGTCTAGTCTTCATGATAATATGATGATATGCATGATGTCTGTATTATTTTTTCAGGAATGACTTCGGAAGTGGAAAAGAAAAAGCAACAATATCAGGAAAACATAAATCGCAAGGCTTTGATAGACTGGGTGAGGGTGACGGGACTAAGGAATCAACGAAAAAGAAAAATGGATAATCTACTCGAAGATCTGTCAACTGATATAATCAGGTATGTATAAATCCTCTAATTATCTGTAGTTTAGTCTATTTGTGTATATATATATACACACATATACATATGCATATATACCTATATATGTACTTTTCAATTTTTTTAACTAGAATACAATGTATTTAAAAGTATCAAGGTATCCCACATCCAAAGGTGCCGCCTTCAGTTGGCCTGCGCCCGCAGGGATAAGTGGAGGGATTTTGGCTGTTCGTGTAAGTACTTATGAGTTATTACTATATGTGTAATGATTTATTAATGTATTTATAGGCACGGGTTACCTATGCTTTTTGGAAGTTTTTCATGATGGAAGGCAGGAAAAACCTCTACGAGTACAACTCCAAGAACGGAACTGATATCAAGATTTCCCGTGAAAGGACATTACCGCTGGAAGATCAGGATCGATTAGGGTAAATATTTTTTGTTATTCTAATATGTGCTATTTATACTAAATTTTTAGATTGTTTATTCGCAGAAGCATCCGAGATGCCTACGCAAGAGCAAATGAAAAATGTGTAGACATTTCGTTGAGAAAGTCAATGATAAAATTTGGTGATAATAATGTGAGTTTGCTTGCTTTTCTTGTGTATAGATATGTGTCGGGCTTGCCAATAGAAGAACTACTGACTGAGAAGGAGAAAAATTCTGTGAACGTAAGGTTTATTTATTTATTTTTTGGTTTATTTCTGTTTAGAAATATACATAATAATAATAATTTTGAAAGTTTTATACTTGGTTTAGAATAGTAGAGAGAAGGTAACTACAATATTGTTGATTGTAATTATTTTTAGGCAGGCGAAATAAAAAGAGGAAGCATGAAACTTCCTGAGATCGACCTGCCATAAGCCATCAAGATGAACATCATGCCTTGGATTTGAATAAAGAAAATGAAGAGGACACTGCAAATTCACACAATGATGAAGAGGTAAGTAAACTACATTGAGATATAACGTGTCTTAGGTAGTGCTATTTATTAGAACCTTATATAACTTTTTTGATTTTATAATTTGGTGTTATAGGCTCAATCATCAACAATGCTGAAGAAACGTTCCCTTGAAATGGAAGATGAACCTCCTGCAAAGAAAGGAGTACAGCAATATGGATTACAAGAAGATAAAAGGAATTACGAGTATTAGGGACTGAGTTTTATTCAACACGTAAATTGTTTCTTTTGTTCTTGTTCTATTCTTGTTCAAGTAAACTATCATGACAAATTGTAACGACTTATAAAATGATACTGTCTATGCGACAGTCGGCCCAATTGGCCGGAACGATACAATCAGCCCCAATTGGGCTGTGAGGTAAAACCTCTTAAACAACATAACAATAAAATAATGGAAAAAATCCAAAAGGAACTAGCCTATTAGTGGATTCGGGAAACCCTCGAGTTCACACTAGTGGCTAGCATCAACAATAAAATAACTAAAGGTAATGGACAAGGAAATGCAATTGTAAGTATTACAAATTAAAAAATAAAAACAAAGCTCCGTTTCGTTCCTACCCAGACGGAGATAAAGAATGTTTTATAGCCCTCCCCGGAACTCCTCAGTAAGGAAGGAGGGCTATCTGGATAATTAAAATAATAAAATAAAATAACTTACCTGTATGGAGCCCTTGTATCCTTGTCCTTGGGAGTAGCACGTTTCCTTGAATTGTAAGAGGGCTGGATGATCAAATGCAGTCGTTGTTAATCAATTAGCAAATATAATACTCAGTCAAAAAAGTCTGAGCGGTAAATTTAAAATTATATTGGCAATAGAGCATGAGTATAATCACATTGTCTGGTAACTAAATAGTATTAACTTAGAGCATGGTTGTTCGGAGGTGTGTGTGTGTGTGTGTGTGTGTGTGTGTGTGTGTGTGTGTGTGTGTGTGTGTGTGTGTGTGTGTGTGTGTGTGTGTGTGTGTGTGTGTGTGTGTGTGTGTGTGTGTGTGTGTGTGTGTGTGTGTGTGTGTGTGTGTGTGTGTGTGTGTGTGTGTGTGTGTGTGTGTGTGTGTGTGTGTGTGTGTGTGTGTGTGTGTGTGTGTGTGTGTGTGTGTAACCTTCTATGACCCTCGAAACCGTCTGGATGTGGTCCATGCAGCTGAATCCTTTGCGAAATCCAGCTTGGGGTTGGGCTTCATCCAGCGTCCTTGATATGCGAGCGAGGATAATCTTCGTGAAAAGCTTGTACAGTACACTCAGCAGGCATATTGGAAATAGTTCCGAAGATCCTCCCGTTTACCCTTCTTGAAGAGAAGGACGGTTGACGCTCTCCACTGGTCGGGAATCTTCTCCTTCTGAAGGTAAGATGTCAAATGCGACGCTAGAATCTCGTGTAGACGGTGTCCTGCTCGCAGAAGTTCGACGGAAAGATGATCTGGTCCTGGAGCCGTGGACGTCTTCATGGTCTGTATCGCGATACGCACTTCAGCAGGTAGAATTCGTGGTGGTACTTCTCCAGTGGGAACAACGGGCATCTGCACGGGTGTTGATGAGCGCAAGAGGTTGGTGTAGAAGTTCTTCGCGATAGATTCCATCTTGTATCGGGAAGAAGTCGGAGTCCCGCCTTCGTTCAGTAGTGCAGCCAGCGGTACGTGATATTCGCAGAGGTCCCTTCGGCACTTCTTGAGACTTCGTCTTCTTTCGGCTGCTTCCAATATCTTGACTTGCCTGTACTTCCTGATATCCTCTTGCGGCGTTGGCTATCAGTCGCTCGAGATGGTTGCATTCGGATCCTGCCTCAGAAATCTTCTTCTTTCAAGCAATTCCTTGGTGGTCTTCGGAATGCGTTCCAAGTTCTTTTCAGAACTCATGAGGCGCGCTCTCCGCAGGCTCGCAATCCTTTCAGAAGCCGGTCGTAGTCGTACGTTGGGTTCCTCGATGGGCCAGTCACATCTTTGTATGAGCTCCTCAGCCTGTTACCGTCATAAACGACTTCCTTCCTTCTCGCGGCACTGTGACAGACTTTCTTTTCCAGCCTTCGGCTGAGTCGTATCTTCGCTCGAAGGAGGCGGTGATCGGAGCCACTGCAGAAGGATGGAACTACTGAGACATCAAGCAAGCTCCACCTTCGGTTGGTAAGTATGTGGTCGATCTCCGCGTGAGTTGTTCCGTTGAGCGATTCCCATGTCCACCGGCGATGTTCTTTCTTCATGAAGATGGAATTTCCATGGAAGAGTCGTGCGGCGGAGAGAAGCCCAGCGAGACGGTTGCCGTTTTCGTTCCGGAGCCAGGGCCCGGCACGCGTTGGTTTGGAGGTTTTTAGGAAACGAAGTCCCCCATGACTTCGCGAAAATTTACGAAGTCCTTCTCGACGTGAAAATCAGTAGAGAAACCCTTATTCAAACGAAATAGCAACAAAAAAGCGAAAAAAGCGCATTTTGAGGTATGTAATATAACAAAAAAGCAAAAAGAAAACATTTCGAGTCGATTAAAGGCTCTGCCATTGGGTATAGTACCATTTTGATGCTGGGAATGTCGAGAATCTCCTAGGCCAACCAAATCTGTAGCCTTAACAATCCTACGATGCATTTTTCGCCACATATTTTAAAGGACACCGCAAGTGACTGGAGCGCGATATCTATCAACGCGTAGAATTATACTACTTTTGATTCAAAAAAAGGGGAGAGGCAACGGTTTGATCCGCTCTCTTCACTATATGATAGATTTTTGACAGTTCTAATCGTCCAAACCAAAAAGGTCCAAAACTTATGTGAACTCTCCGATATTTATGCTCCGAACCAACCCAGTTGGTTTGGTAGTTGGTCTAGAAACCAACAATTCGAGAACGGATATTAGGACACATAAGTTTTGAGAACTTTTTACATAACATAGTTTGGAGTAATATTGTAACATAGTTTGGAGTAATATTGTATACTCATAGCCCAGATTCGGAGCCATGTGATTGTTTGTGCGCTGTAAACAAGCCATTTGTTTGTTTGAGTCTTGCATTTGAAATTCGCGCGCTTGCGAAAAACACGTTCAACTCGTGAAACCTGAGGTAGGTGCCAGAGTAAGCGAATATTTTGTTCGAGTTGGGGTCCCGCCCAGAATTGACGTCACTTGGATTGACGCCAGCATGGTGAGTGACGTCCATTCTGCGCGGGACCCCAATTTGAACAAAATATTCGCTTACTCTGGCACCTACCTGACATGTTCGTCGTTTTTTTGGCGCTTCCTCCAGGATCTCATAAAAACGATGTCCCCGTTGCTCCTAACTCCAAAAACGAAGTCCAGTTTGACCCCAAACCATCGGTGCCGGGCCCTGTCCGAAGCCCATACCCAATCCTATATTTCCCGATCCTATATTCCTTTTCTAGTGGCTTCCCGATTTTCGCATTGAAGTCGCCCACAACATACTTGTAGAAGGTCTTTTCGTTGCGGACGACCTCCTCCACGTCTTCGTAGAAAGCATCTAGTTCTGAGTCGTCAGCTGCTGATGTTGGAGAGTAGCAGTTGATGATGCTGATGGTCTTCTGACGTGGAGGGCGTAGTCGTAGGATGGCTAGTCGGGGTGACAGGATCTCGTGCAAATCGACAAGATGGACGATAGATGGGTGGACGACAAAGCCAACGCCTCCCACGTTTCGTGATGGAACCTTATCACCACGAATGATGCGCGTCCCATCATTCATCTGTCGCACGTCCTTCTTCCTGGACTTCGTTTCCGGCAGAGCGATGATGTGGTACTTGATGTGCTCTGCAGCGTGGAGAAGAGCGTGGAGGTCGGCGTTTGTGGAGACTGTCCTGGCGTTGTAGGTGCAGAGCATGAGGCAGTCTCCGTGGCGTGTCGTCTGGGCAGACGTGTCGTTTTTGTCCAATCCAAAAGGCGCCCGGGGGACCCTGACATCAGTCTTGCTACCACCCGGCGCCGTAGGCGGGATCCGATGTGCAGGGTTTCTTTCTATTCTTCTAACTGGTAGAGTAATGAAATTTTTCCCCTACAAGAGCAGAGTTACTAGGCCAACTCTTGATTTCCACGGGGCGATCGCTGACCCCGGGCTTGGAGCTGGGAGAACCGCCTAGCGACCTGAAAACCAGACGGCGGTAGATCTGGCCTGGCCGGCTCTTAGCTAGGCATCCGGCCGAAACCGGAAACGTCGAACTCCTTCACAGCTTGGGAGGCCCTGCCAGAGTATACACTCGGCTGTGCATCGCAGTTCGACACCCAGTGTCACCCCCACGCCACGATGAGGCGGCCGACCATTGTGGGGGGCAGCTTCAATTATGTGTAGAAATGATGGTTCGAATGTCCGCGGCACCCCCCCCCCTTTTCGGCAGCATAACGTCTTCTACCCATTCACTGCATATACATACACCTTGACTTCTATCATTGAACACCTTCAACCTGAAATGGGCAGCATGGGCGAAAATGAGCAGCATCCATGAAAACAGCTGGAATATAATGGATGTAGGAAATATTTCTTTAGTGTGCCGATCGCAATCACGGCAGACGGCATTCCACAACGACTAAATATCGCCGAGACACATTGAAGGTGAGTAGCTGTCAATAGATAAGAAAAAGGGAATAATTACTGCAAAAAAACGGAAGCAAAATAACTCCCTGCTCGATCTCCCCTTCTGCATAAGGGGGCTCCCCTCCCCTACTCCCAGAGGATCCCCTCTCCGGTATTGCCTTTCTGCATACGGGGATTCGCGTGGGGAAGGGAGGGAAGCCCCAGCGGGGATCATTGCAATGGTTAAACTCACATCCCCTCCCCGCGGGGATGGACGTGCATACGAGCCTTATAAGCATACGTTTTTGGTTTGCCAGATAATGTTCGCATCCTTCCTTTGTTAGAAATATAGTGAAACTTGCCCATGGCAAAAGCATGGGTCGTATTTTTAGGAATTTTCTGAGAGACCGTTAGTTTACCTGCAATATAAACTTACTCGTTTGAGAGAAAATGAAAAGATAACAAATGCTACCAGAATCTTCTTTAGATTTTTGCGCGAATTATAGCAATCGTTTAAAAAAGGCGAAAATGCATTAGGGACAACATCTAATTTATGCAAAGCTGACGAAAAGCAATTCAATAGGGAAGGGTAAACTTAAATTGGATCAAACTGTATATCTAGACGCATTTTTGAACGGTAATTCCAAATCTGCTTTCCGTTTTTCGTGATACAACTCTCCGAGTGAAGTTGTGGCCA